TGTTCTTTTGTGATGTATGTCTAACCAACCTAGATATAAATTTATCTAAATCTGAAACATTGAGACTGAACACTCTAGAATGTAATGTTACTGATATCAAATAAAACAACTGTTAAACAAAAACTCAAGTGACACCAAATTGGAAAAAGAAAATTTATGGTTTAAGAAGGAAAGATTAAATACAGTAAAAACACCAACGCTAGACTCTATTTTAGTTATCGGAAAAATATCTGATAAAAAACTAACAAAAATAACATGGATATAATTGAAAACATAGTTATGAACAATAATATTCAATTGAAAAATTCGTATCATAATAAATCAGGGGATCTTGTCTTAGTATGTAACTCAGAAGAATCTAAAGACCAATTAATGAATTCTCTCAAAGACACGAACAATCAAATAAAAGTAAAATCATATCAATTGAGCTTGCAAAAAATTATCATCAGTGGTTTACCTAGAGAGTATAATGAAAATGAAGTTGTTAATATGCTACACTCACAGAACAGTTTTATCCAAGAATTTAGCAAAGTGAACAACATCAAAGATCATTTTAAAATAGAAGCTATCAAACCAATAAAAAACAAACCAACAATGTTTCAAGTCTTTGTGAATATAAGCAAAACATTACGAGAAGGCTTTCAATGTTATAAAAACAAAATCACACTTGGATTAACGTCCTGCAGGATATATGACAAACTCAATGTAATGCGTTGTTTTAACTGTCAAAGCTTCAGACATTATGCAAATTAATGCAAAAAAAACAATCCGACATGTGCTAAATGTAGCGAAAAAATTTTAAGGAATTACTAGATGCACTTAATCTTACACAAAATGTCAAAGAACCAACTCATAAAATGGGACACATATTAGATGTAGTAATTAATAAGCCAGATGAAATATCAGTTGATATGCTAGCTGTGACAGACTTAGATTTGAGTGACTATTTTCTCATTGATTTTAAATTAGAACAAAAAAAAGAAAAAAACACATACCACACTATTACATACAGGAATTTAAAAACAGTAGACGTGAAGTCTTTCAACAATGAAATATTAAGAAATAAATGGAAAATCTCATCCGCAGAAAATATGAAAGAGGAAATAACAATATATAATCAAGTAATGAAAGAAATTGTACAGAAACATGCTCCTTTGAAAACTAAAATAGTAAAAATAGTGAATACAGCTCCTTGGTTTGATGGGGAATATATGCAACTAAGGCAAAAACGAAGAAAAGCAGAAAAATTATTTAAGAGAACCAAAATTGAAAGTGACAAAAAAGAATATATATGCCTCAGAAAAAAAAACAACAATTACTGCTTATATAAAAAAAGAACGTATTTCTCTAACCTATTACATAAAAACATCTCAAGTAAAAATCTATTCTCAATAATAAGCAAGCTACTAGATAAAACTCAGGAACATGTACTACCATCAGCGAATTCAGACGAAGAACTGGCTAACAACTTCCACAGTTACTTTACTGAAAAAATTAGAAAACTCAGGTCAAATCTTGTAACACCCCAAACAAAGAAAAGCGCATTAGATTATAATGGTTAGTTTTTAAGAAATTTTGATTTGAACTTACAAAGAAATTTACAATATAGCCATGTCATTTGGAATAAAATGTTCTCCAGATGATCCCATTCCAGCATATCTACTAAAGAATAATTTATAAACATTTATACATATATGGGTGGAAATAGTAAACCTATCGCTAGAATCAAGCAGCATGGATTGTCTAAAAAGTGCTACATTACTTCCAATAATGAAGTTAGACTTTGCCACCACAGATACAGAACACTTTAAAAAATATAGACCAGTTTCCAATTTAGTATTCATTAGCAAGCTAATAGAAAGAGTTTCCAATCGTCTAGATTCCCACATGACAACAAACAATCTTCATATAGAATATCAATATGGATACAAAAAACATTATTCCACTGAAACACTTTTGCTGAAGCTTACCAATGGTATATTTGAACTCTTTGATAAGAATACACCTTCAGTACTTATGTTACTTGATCTAAGTGCTGCTTTTGACACTATTGATCAACAAAAACTACTTGGGCTATTAACTAGTGAAATAGGCATAATGGACTCAGCTCACAAGTGGTTTGAATCACTTTTAGTTAATCGTACCTAAAATGTTAAAATTGGTAACTCATACTCTACAAACCAAAATGTCAAATATGGAGCACCGCAAGGTACAGTACTGGGTCCAAAACTATTTAATATCTATATGAGACCACTGTACAAACATCTGAACATAATCAATGTTAAAACTTTTGGATACTCAGATGATCATCAAACTCTCAAAGCATTCCTTCCTTCTTTGCAGTATAATGCATTAGTTCTAGATATACCAGAATGTCTTGGACACATATCTAAATGGATGAGCGAATCATTCTTATGCATTAACCAATCGAAAACAAAAATACTAATTATGGCACCACCTAACATTCAAAAAGATATTGTTATTAAAGGTACTTTTGTTAACAAGGAATGCATTTGATTTGTTGACTCCACAAAAAGTTTGGGTGTGATACTTGACAATGAACTGTCTTTGAAAACACAGATAAATAAGATTGTGAAAAGTTGTTACAATATAATCAGCAAAATATCCAAAATAAAACAATTCTTATCGCATAAAGATTTATGCACCATAGTATGTTCATTAATTTTTTCACAGCTAGGTTTTTGCAACTCCCTCTACTTTGGAATTGAAAGGTCACTATTAAAAAAATCTTTTAAAATTATTTAAATCTGATAAACAATACTTTGAGCTTTTTTTTACCTTTTTTGTTGAGTATTTTAATTAAAAAGTGTATTTAGATATAACCTATATATATATATATATATATATATATATATATATATATATATATATATATATATATATATATATATATATATATATATATATATATATATATATATATATATATATATATATATATTTATATATATATATATATATACATATATCACTTTGTTTGAATGTTGGAAAATTTACTATTAGGTGTAGAGAACAATCATTTAAAACTTTAATAAATTTATGTTTAATTGAGTTTTTATTTGAATGAATTATTGGACCATCATCTGTCCATTCTATATTAAGGAAATTAAAATCTCCTACCACTATGAGATCAATGTTTGGTGGTCTATATATACAATCAATTTTTAAATGAAAATTACTACACTTTATTGAGCACCAGACCATCTTTGTTGTTAAGATGTACATTTACAATTTCTATATTTGTAAGTCTTTTATTTACATAAATGGCAACACCTCTTCCAATTCTATCTCTATCTGCGTGATAAAGTTCATAGCCATCAATTATTTTAATAGAATCTAATTTAAACTAAGTTTTTGTAATTGCAAAAACATCCATATTGTATGTCAAAGAAAGTGTGGAGAGCTCAGATAATTTATTAGAGTTACAGGAGGTAGTATTAGTGTAATAAAACTTAATTGGTTTATAGTTAGTATTATTATGTTGCTTTAAATAAATAGGAAGCTTTACATTACTTTGATTTTGGTAAGATTTATGATTGGCTGATATGAGCCCCTCCGGGCCTGCTTGGCAACGCTCTTTTTGACAAATGGGTGAACTTTGCAGTTGCCAATGTCTTTTGTTGTAGTGACATTGATACACAGTAATTTTCCGCTTCTAATAACAAATCAAAAGGGCTGGTCTAGGTTATTATTGCGTTACAAGTCCTCGTTTGCCTCCTTTCTCTCTTTATTTAATTGTGCAAATTCAGCCTGCTCATCAGGAGTACAATCAGGCCGTAGATATATCTTTTTTTGTACGCCTCAATTGTTGACAGTTCCCTTGCTGCAGCCAGCATCTCGTTTCGTGTTACTTCATTCTCAAACTTGACAACTAATGGTTCTGATGCATTGTTTACCAAGGGAACTTTAGATTTTAATCTGAATGTTGATTTTATTATTATTCGTCTGTTCAGCGAACGTATTAATTCATAGACCATGTTCTTGTCATCTGTCTTACGATACTCATTTATAGTTTTTTGTGAGTTGGGCAAATCAAAAATTACGACATTTTTAGACTTTTTATTTGATAATATTTCATGACTTTTTGACACTTTGATGCTAGTATTATACAGCCCAGAACCTGGATTGGCTAATTGCTTAGCAATTTGGCTGTAACTAACAGCAAGTAAACTAGGTGGTAAATTTGCATTTTTTTCTTCTAGTCTTTTTACTTTCTCGCTAAGTTTAGCTATTTCTGCATCTTTTTCTTTTAATTTCACTTCAAATAGTTTAGTTTGTTGATTTATTTTCACTTGAAAGTCACCCTTTAGCTCTTCAATTGCTTTGTTAATCATCAAAGCCATACAATTCTTTTGTTAGTCAGTGAGTTTAGTCATATCTCAATCCTCGATTTCCACCAATAAAATGAAAGAGTAACAACCACTACAAACACTAGTGGATTACTTCTTTGATGTTGAGTTGGTCTTTAGGAGGGTTACCACTCTGAATACCAGTGGATTACCTCCCGTTCAGAATTATTAATATTAAATATTATATTTTATTAACACAAGTAGAACTTTTAGTTTTTTGTGTTTTTTCTGTATATATATATATATATATATATATATATATATATATATATATATATATATATATATATATATATATATATATATATATATATATATATACACATATATATATATATGTGTGTGTGTGTGTGTGTGTGTGTGTGTGTGTGTATATATATATATATATATATATATATATATGTATATGTATATATATATATATATATATATATATATATATATATATATATATATATATATATGTATATATATATATATATATATATATATATATATATATACATATATATATATATATATATATATATATATATATATATATATATATATATATATATATATATATATATATATATATATATATATATATATACAATATATAAACATTAAAATATATATATATTTTAGTGTTTATACTGTACTACGTTGTATTTGGTGTTTTTTGTGAACGGCCATTTGAACTAATTATATCCATTATTGCCACGGCAATTGTTATGCTCTACTGTATTGTGGAGTATATTTGGAAAGGATACAATGACAGAGGAGAAGTACATGATTTGAAATTAGTAAGTAAATTAATTATTTTTGTCATTATTTTAAATTAGTTTTTAAAAACTTTCTTTTATTTCTTTTTAGCACTGACTTAAGTTTTTATTATGATAAAAAATGACATTAGTTGTGTGTGTGTTTTTACTTATTGTTACATCCTTGTGTCAAAATATAATTAACAAATAAAATTTGTAGTTAAAATGTTTAAACAAGACATAATTTTCTAATTAAATAAGAAACAAACAAACAAAAAAAAAACATAAAATACTATTTCTATACTTATAGAAAAACAAATCAGAACAAATATAAGGCAAAGCTACTGTAGAATGAAATAAAAACAAAGACTAATAGAAGTTAGTGCAACAAACTAGGATAAAATAAAATAACAATGAAATTTTCAAGAACTATTAAAAAAACATAATCATTTATCAAAGTGGTTTGTATTTATCCTTGGTATTGACTACCAAAACCTTTGTTAAAACAGAAAAAAATTAGTATAAATATTTGTAGCTCTAAAATCCACCAGACTAGTGGCTTGCCATATTATTAGACTAAACAAGCGAAAAACAAAATTACGTTGTATATATGATTTTTGCAGACAATTTTTTATCATTTAAGGACATTTAACTATGGATAAAAAAAAATCAATGTTTTTTCAAAAACAAATAGATATATTTAACAGAAAATAATGGAAAATAATTTTAAAAAATCATGAAAGCATTAAATAGCTAATTTTTTGTATGATGTCAGTCATCGTTACTGTGAAATGGTTGTATTTTTTAAAAATCTATGATTTTCACCACACAATTTTTGTTATCACATGCCTTCCCCATTGCTAAAAAAAGAAGATAATATTCAATAAGATACTGAATACTTTTTCATAAATATATATATATATATATATATATATATATATATATATATATATATATATATATATATATATATATATATATATATATATATATATATTTATATATATATTTATATATATATATATATATATATATATATATATATATATATATATATATATATATATATATATATATATATATATATATATATATATATATATATCAGGGTTGGAAAAAACCCAGGGTTTTTTAAAAAAACCCAACCCAAATGGGTTTTATTGGGTTTTTTTGGGTTTTATGGGTTTTTCGGGTTTTTTTAAAAACCGAGCAAAATACCAAATTTTTATAATTGTATGAGTACAATAATTTTTTTTTTAATTTCATAAATTCACCTTCCTATTGCTCCAATGACCACTTCAGTCAAGGGAGCAACTCATTTTTTAAAAATATTTTGTCTCAAACCTTAACATTACCATTTTTACTAACAAACAACATTAACAACTAAAATTTTTAAACAAAGGCGCTGTGCAGAGAAATAGATTGAGCACAGTAATTTCAGCAGAGGTAATTTGAACCTTAACCTTCTGGTTGCGAGCCAAATGTTTTACTACTAGTCTACTAGCACATTTTACCTATAGTGCAAAAAGCGACTCCATCAACTATAAATGATGTTAATTAATTGCACTAAATTAAAAATATGTTCAGAATATTTTTGACTAAAAAAAAATCAGTATAAAAACTATTATGACAATTGAGTTACTCAAAGTTGGTAAGACAATATAAATGTTGCAAACTAGTTTTTTTTACTAACATGTTCAACATATCATTTCAAAAACTATTTTGCACAAGTTTACAACATGTAATCAACAAGTTTGCAACATGATGTTGCAACCTTATAAGTTATTATGAATCAAGTTGACTATGAACACTTTTTAAACATTTTTTTATCATAGAAGAAAACTGCTAGCCTAATCACTACATTTTTTTTATCAGAACACTACATAATCACTACATTTTTTTTATCAGCTGTTCATAGTCACCCTTGTTGGTGGTACATGTTGTAAACCTGTAGCTGATGCAAAATATTCAAAACCTATCAAAAGACAGATGAGTCTTGCTACAAAAACAGATTGATCGGTTTTGGGTATATTCTAAATACCATTATGTATATAAATACAGTGTTTACAAGAGTAATTACAGTATAAAGGTTGCACTTGCTGATAATAAAGCATTTATAAGTGTTAAAATCAAAGTTATCAGTTGTAAAATAGGACATTTTTAAAAAAACCCAAATATATTTTGGGTTTTATTGGGTTTTTTTAAGGTGGGTTTTTTTGGGTTGGGTTTTTTTGCCAACCCTGATATATATGTTATATATATATGTTATATATATATATATATATATATATATATATATATATATGTATATATATATGTGTGTGTATATATATATATATATATATATATATATATATATATATATATATATATATATATATATATATATATATATATATACACACACATTTAAATGAACAAAATGAAGCTTGTGCAAATTTACAATTGTTTATTTTTGTAAACAAAAATAGTAAAAAACATTAAAAAATGTTTTAATAAGAATTACATTATAGTAAGTTATGGTTCATATTTAATACAAATTACATTAAAAAGCAAAAAAAAATTTATTGGTTGTTACATTTTTGTGAGTGTCTTCATGGTAAAAAAATTAGTTATTAAAGTTTTTTAAAAATGTTTGGACATAATTATTTTTAAATAAACTCAGATTCAAATGACCGGTATTGGAATTTCATTATCTTAGTATCTAAATTATGACTTAATCAAAGGAAAGGTACACACTTACTTAACTAAAATTAATTTTTTTTTTAATAAATAGTAATAAAAATTTGTTTAAATTAGAATTATGTGACACAAAAATAATTTTAAAGTGTTGAACTCATTCATTCAAGTTTTGATTATAAATGTTGTTTCTTATAGTTACATGCTCTCTTGCTTGGAGCAATTACATTTACAATGCAGTTTTTAAATTTTTCGAATAATAAAAGTTTGTTACACTTCTTTATTTCACAAAGAAGAAGTGTAACAATGGAACCTTTTAGATATGAAAATAAGAAAAAATGCTGCACAAAATAATATTTATAAAATAATAAGTTGTTTTAATAAAAAAGAGATCTAAATATATATTAAAATAGAGTTTAAAACAATTGATCAAATGCAACATTCATTTTGACATTTTTCCTAAAGAACATTTTGATGCTTAAATAAAATAAAGCAAAAAATATTTAAATAATTATTTTTGTGTCACATAATTCTAATTTAAACAAATTTTTATTACTATTTATTAAAAAAAAAATTAATTTTAGTTAAGTAAGTGTGTACCTTTCCTTTGATTAAGTCATAATTTAGATACTAAGATAATGAAATTCCAATACCGGTCATTTGAATCTGAGTTTATTTAAAAATAATTATGTCCAAACATTTTTAAAAAACTTTAATAACTAATTTTTTTACCATGAAGACACTCACAAAAATGTAACAACCAATAAATTTTTTTTTGCTTTTTAATGTAATTTGTATTAAATATGATGCTTAAATAAATATCAGAAAAACAACTATTGTTGATGGTTGTTTCTCTGATGTATTGTTGAAGGTTGTTTTTCTGATGTATTCATGATACAAAACATAAATGTGTAAAACTTAAAAAACTAATACTTGAACATAATTCTATTTTATCCATGAGCTTTTACATCTAAATATTAAAAAAGCCTGCAAAAATGTTTATCGCTCCCATTGCCCGCCAAGTCTGTTTTAGACAGGCAGTTAACTACTTATTTACTCCTGCAAAGTTAACCACTTATTTACTCCTGCAGTTAACCACTTTTTTACTCCTGCAAACAGTTAGTTAACCACTTATTTACTCCTGCAAACAGGCAGTTAGTCCTCTTATAAAGGAGTAATTAAGTCATTAGATAAAATTTTACGATATGTATCTCTGCCAAAGTAAATATTTCTGATTTAAATTGAAGGTCTAAAAAAGTAGTGGTAAGAAAAACGTTTTTACTTAAATCAAATCTCATTTCCAACTGCATAGTAAAATCGTCAACAAATTCACCTAACCCTCTTTTTCTTCCATTAAGTGAAGATAATTTTTCAATATTGTAATGCACGGATAAACTAAACTAATGCTTACGCTTTTTTCCATACTTAGTATAGTAGTGGCTTCAGGTACTCCATTTAAAATAAGAGTGATTGTTGTTAATAATTGCACTTGTGTTTCAGTTAGACAAGTTGGTGGCACTTTCATACAGTTTTTTTTTTGTAAACACTCAACTAAAGCAATTTCTATAGAACCATGATTTTTTTTTCATTTTCTATTCCAATAAGTTAGAAGTGCTGTTAAAGTGCGTTTCCACATCCATCGAAGGCTTTGACTCAGGTTTTCCTTGAGAAATCTGATACTTTTTGAGAGTTGTCTTTTTGAGAGCTGTTTTGAGCAGCATAAATTATAATAATAATAATCTTTTGTAAAATTTCATGGTAATTATTTATTTTATGTAACTATGGTAACTATTGTAAAAAAACTATTAAATTTTTGATGTAGCAATTGATATTGATGAAACATGTTTTCAAAAAGTTTTAAAAAAATTGTTATTTATTTGATAGTTATATTAACTATATATAGTTATATATATAGTTTATATGTATATATTATATATATATATATATATATATATATATATATATATATATATATATATATATATAATCTTTAAAAGCCATTTTCTTGTTATACAATAATAATAAAATATGTAAAATTCAATAAAAATGGCTGCGTATAAACTTTTTAAAAACTTTATTACACCTGATGACGCTGATCACAATAGATCAGCGAAATATCGAAAAAAATATATATATATTAAAATAAAAACAAATATATATTTTTTAAAAAGTTTATATGCAGCCGTTTTTATTGAATTTTACATATTTAATATATATATATATATATATATATATATATATATATATATATATATATATATATATATATAAACTGTTTTTAATTGCACATTATTTTATCAAAGTTATATAAGTTATATATGTAACGTTGAATTTCAAAACCTGTAAATGACATTTAATTTTCTAAAAAAATAATCATTTAAAATGTGAATCAAACATCAGGCAGTTGCCAGATAATTTTTTATTATTCTTGTATTTTTTCAGACAACTGATAATTTTTTTTTTTATGTTCATCAACAACAGTTTTAATTCCAGTTTGTCAAAAGTATGATAAAAAAACCTCTCCACATCATAAATAAATTGTATGAACTCTGATGTACATGCCTGCACTCATGTCTGCACTTTCAAATACTTTTAGTATGTGCAAAAGCATCTCAGGAAGTTGCCATTGATTTTCCATAAGATTTGTTTGAGTTCTGGTAATGTAATAGTTTCCACTTACAAAACCTCTCAATCATATGTTTAGTTCCATCTGGAAGAGATATATTAAATAATGTTTTGCTTTGTTAATTTTAGTTTATTGCAATATTAGTTTACAATTCATGAATTTTTTTATGTCACAAGTTTACAGTGCTTCATTAAGAAATTTGCTGATGTTGTGCTCTGTGTGAAACTTTGAGTATTTTTCTTATAAAATGTTATTTTATAATCAAGTTTCAAAAAATTTACTCTGTAACACAATTAAATTGCGTTTTACTTTATTTTTTATTGCTACATACATTTAATAGAGAAATGCTTTTATAGTTTTGAGCTTAATTTTTTTTTCAATGGTAAGCCTTTATCTTTCTTACTTAAATCAATTATCAAAAACTAAAAAATTACTCTTAATATTCAAAAAATTAGGAAAATAAAATTTAAATGCTTTTAAAATTTTTTTTTTGGGGGGGAGGGTAGTGGTGTAATTACCCCTTTTATCCTTTCTTCCTTTGTATTTGCCACTGGTAAACACTAACTACCAAATATCTAATATTAATTTATTAAATATTAACTTTTTAATAATAAATACTAAATACTAATTAGTAATTACGTTTGAAAAACCTCACTTTTTTGTCTCATTTTTCTTTAAATAGAGAATTAGAGTTAATAAACATATATAAGCTTTCCTGAATAGTGGATTAAAGCTAATTAACATATGTAAGCTTCCCTAAATAGAGGACATAGAGTTGATAAACATATGTAAGCTTTCCTGAATAGAAAACATAGAGTTAATAAACATGTAAGCTTCCCTGAGGTTACTTTGCACAGATTCAACCGAGCTTTTCTTTTCTAAGCATATTGTTTGAGTAGTTTTTCTTTCAAAATATGCACATTGCTTTGCCAACATCTCAACTTCTCACTTTGTAAGTGTTAGAGATTTTTGCTTTACAACTGTTAAGCCATTAGAAAAAAGCTTATATTAGGTATTATTAATTTATAATAAATTTACTCATTCTGAGTATACAGTTAAATTATAATTTAGGTATAAATTAAAATTGAAAGTAATTTAAAGATGAAATTTGTATCTTATATTTAAATAGGTAATATCTGATATTTGATTGATACTATGATGGTATTTAATGAATTATGATATATAAGTAGTATTTATATTTAAATTTAAAATTAACATAATAAAATAAAATATCAAATACTAAATTGAGCTATATTCGTACTATATTTACTGTTTTGAGTAATTAAGCGTACAAAATAAAAAGTTAAACACGTTTGTACATGTTTTAATATTTTAAAATAAAATTTGTTTTTTTTTTAACAAAAAACTTTCATAATAATGATAATAATAATAATGTTAATAGTTTCAAATAACTTTAAAGTTGAATTTAAAAAGATTTTAGTAATTTATTACCAGCTAATCATTGTCTTTTGTCAATCATTAAAAGATGTTCTACATTTAAAGTTTATTTAAAACTTCATGTAATCATAATTTTAATTTTTTTTTTACCTATGAAATTTGCGATGAATTAAAACTAAAGTTAAAACATCTAAAACAAAACAAAAAAAAAGATAGTACATATATAATATTAAAAAAATAAAAATAGTAGATATATAATACGTGTTATAATGTATAAAATACATGTTGTGTACGTGTCAACAGAGCAGGTCAATCTTGACCAACAAAAATTTATTTTGGAAGAACAGGTCATTGACAATTAATCTAATGTTAGTTTCCAGGTTATAATAATCCATTTGATCTCTTAAAAGTATCAATACCAAAGAATTATTCAAGTTTTATAAACAATATAGAACTTAAATTACTGAAAAGTAATTTGCAGTAGCCAATATATTGGCAAACAATGCCCCCAGATTTGGTGTGCCAAATCTTTAGTAAATTTTTATTATTAATTAAATTTAAAAAAATTGATTTGGTAATGCATTTAAATATCATTTACAACATTTAGGTGATTACTAAAAGTAACATTTTATTGAACAAAAATTGTTTATATTATCACAAACATTGCATTAATGTATTTCTAAACTATCAAATCTTGCTAGATAAATATATTTGAAATAAACTCATCAACATATAAATTTGATGTGAAGTTTGGAGAGTAACTTTGAACTACTTGTACATGCAGAACAATTTGTTTTCAGGAAAATCTGTATTATTGCTTGATTTAAAAATTAAACAATAACAATATTGTATATATATAGTATACATTTATATATAAAATTATGTACATATAAGTATACATTTGATGAAAATTTGATTTGATAAAGATTTGTTAATTTCAGGGTCGTTTGATTGTTATTTCTGTTGTTGGTCCTATTGATATTGGTTTAGGAATAAAGATTGCTTACAAGTTTTATACTTCAAAGAATCTTATTTTCAGAACTGTTGGTGGAAATGCACTTCTTCAAAGTAGTTTAATAATTCTGAAATTAACATTACTTTTCCTGCTTTATAGTTTAACCCATATATTTTATGTCAATTCTTTAGTTTTAAGTTTAATGTAATTTTTTTTCTAATTTTTTTTTTTAGATATGTGTCAAACAATGTTTTTTTTTACTGCATTTTTGAAGTTTGATTTCCAGCTTGTAGTAAGTATATCTTGTTTTCAAGAAAGTGGTTCTAACACAAGTTTAATCATTTTTTGAAATGAGATTGTGAACTTTTACTAAGTGTATATATATATATATATATATATATATATATATATATATATATATATATATATATATATATATATATATATATATATATATATATATATATATATATATATATATATATATATGTATATATATATATATATATATATATATATATATATATATATATATATATATGTGTATATATACATATATATATATATATATATATATATATATATATACACACACACACATATATATATGTATATATATATATACACACACACACACATATATATATATATATATATATATATATATATATATATATATATATATATATATATATATTATATATACACACACATTTATATATATATATATATATATATATACACACACATATATATATATATACACACATATATGTATATATATATATATATATATATATATATATACACACACATTTATATATTTATATATATATATATATATATATATATATATATATATATATATATATATATATATATATATATATATATATATATATATATATATATATATACACACACATTTATATATATATATATATATATATATATATATATATATATATATATATATATATATATATATATATATATATATATATATATATATATATATGTATATATATATATATATATATATATATATATATATATATATATATATATATATATATATATATATATATATATATATATATATATATATATATATATATATATATATATATACACACACATTTATATATATATATATATATATATATATATATATATACACACACACACTTTTTTTTTTTTTTTTTTTTTTTTTTTTAACATCTTTACTTCCAACAAGGCTGCAAGCAACCACTATAAGAGTTGGAAGTTACTGGAAGAGAAAAGACTAAATCTGTAGAGCAAGATAACGATTGACTGATGACTTAAAAGATTGCAAATTATATGAATCAGGAAAGCAAGATGAAGGAAGCGAATTCCAAAGAACTGATGTTCGAGGAAAAAAACTAGAAGAATAAGAGTTTTTGAAGCACTTAGGAACAGTCACAGAAAAAGGATGAGACTTAATTGAATGGCGAGTAACACGAGAATGAATTTTAGTAGATGGCACAAGGGACGCTAGCTCTTTAGAGCAGTGCCCATTATAGTATTTGTAGAAAAGAGAAAGAGAAGCAACATTACGACGATGTGACAAAGGTTGGAGATTGGCTGCCAGAGCAGGTCCAACTATGTTTACAATTCGTTTTTGCACCTTGTCTAAAAGAGAAAGAGCATCATTAGAAGATCCGCCCCAGATGTGGCAACAGTATTCCATACAGGGACGGATTTGAGATTTATAGAGATAGAGAATAGAATATGGAGTAAGAAAGTGTCGAGCTCGATAAAGAGATGCAACCTTAGCAGATGCTAATTTTGCAATGGATTTGATATACGGTTTAAAAGAAAGATCAGAAGTAAGAGTTAATCCTAGAAGATGAATGGTAGATGACTCATCTAGTACATTACCATTCATAAATATAGGAAGATCTAAATTATTACGATAACGATTGGCCGAATAAAATTGAGTTTTATCTGAATTAAAGTTCACCAGCCACTGTGAGCCCCATGCTGTAGCAGAAGTGAGATCCTTTTCAAGCTCAGATACCCCCTCCAAGCAATCAGAGAGTGTAGGCTTCTTATCATGACAAGAGTAAATGGTAGTGTCGTCAGCGAATAATGCCACCTTAGATGTGAGAATATCTGGAAGATCGTTAATGTAAATTAAAAAGAGTATAGGGCCAAGGATTGAACCTTGAGGAACCCCTGAAGTTACAGGATGTGAAGAAGAGTGTTGTCCATCGAGGACAACTTTTATACTACGATTGGAAAGAAAGGACTCAATAATCTTAAAGACGTTACCAGCTACACCATAAGAAGAAAGCTTATGGAGAAGACCAGCATGCCAAACTTTATCAAAAGCTTTAGAAATGTCAAGTGCGATAGCCTTAACCTCTCCACCTCTATCTAATGCACGGTAAAACCTATCGGTTATTACTGTTAGCACATCAGCTGTAGAACGAGAAGACCGAAATCCATATTGATGATCAGAAAGTAAGTTATTTGATTCAAGATGAGAGATTAAGTGTTTGTTGATTAAAGATTCAAAAACCTTGCTTATGACAGGAAGAAGACTAATGGGACGGTAGTTAGATGAATCAGATCGCTCTCCGGAATTTTTGAAAATAGGGATAACAGATGCTGCTTTCCAGCATGATGGAAAACAAGACTCTGATAAGCACTTGTTAAATAGTTTAGAAAGTATGGATGAAAGCTCCGGAGAACACCTCTGCAAGACTACAACAGGAATGTTGTCAGGACCACAAGCTGTTGAAGAGTCTAAGCAGGAAATTACTTTAGATACAGAAGCTGAAGTGATGCGAATGTCAAGCAAGGGATCAACCTGTTTGACGGCTATGTCAGGTAAAACGCAACTAGTGGAATCAAGAGATGATATTGATGAAAAGTTCTTAGCAAACAATTCAGCTTTGTCTTTAGGTGAGGTGACAAAGTCTGAACCATACAAGAGAGAAGGAATAACAGATTTGCCCTTATTATTGATACTGTTAAAGATTCTCCAGAAGTCTCAAGAGCCTAATTTTTGTGATGAGATACGAGATTTAATGACCTGGGAATAGCGAGCTTTGGCGTCAGACAAAACCTTTTTACAATGGTTTCTGGCGATAGTGAACAGATGTCTGTTTTCTGGAGAATTGTTTTGCTGATAGATATGGAAGTAACGGTTTCGATTAGAAATTGCTGCAGCGCAATGTGAGGAAAACCAAGGAGAAGAGTGAGGCTTGACCTGGAATCGTCGAGAGGAAATAAAAGATTCCATGCCAGCCTGAATCCACGAAGTTATGTAAGGAGCACGTTTGTCAGCAGGAAGACGAAAAATTTCTACCCAAGGGCCGTCACGAAGAAAATCACGGAAAGAGTCCCAGTCAGCTTTAAGGTAGTTGTATGTGGTACGATGATAGGGGGATTCTGATGAAGTAGAAGAATTTGATAATAGTTTTAGAGAGATCAAACCGTGATCAGAAGTACCTAAGGGTGAATGTGGAGAAATTGAGCACTGACTAGGATCCAAAACAAGACATAAGTCGAGTAGAGAAGGTAAATGATTAGGGTTGTCTGGAAAACGAGTTGGAAAGTTGACTATTTGAGTTAGAGATTGAGAAAGGCAAAAGTTGAGGGCCTTAACGCCAGCAGAGTCACTGACACTAGAGCCAAGCCAATCGGTGTGATGGGCATTAAAGTCACCAACAACGACGATATTGGCCGATGGATAAAGAGAGAGGGCTTGGTCAATTTGATCAGAAATAACATCAAGAATAGTGCAATCTTGGGATGAAGGAGAGCGATATAGAACAAAGAGAAAGGCGATAGAGTGAAGTTGTGCTAAACGAAAGCACATAAATGAATAGTCTGTAGATTCAAACCTAGTTTCACGACAAATGGGTGAGTTCTTACGAATGTAGATGCCCAGGCCAAGCATGTGATTATTGGAGTCTTTACGAATTAAAGGAAGATAACCATCAACACTAAGATCACAAGATGGGACAGCCGAACTCAAATTAGTCTCACAAAGAGCAAGTAGGTCTGGTGAACTTTGCAAGAGATAAGACTCAACAGAAGAAAAGTTACTTCGAAGACCACGAATATTAGTAAATGATAGGTTTAGAGAACTTGGTGATGACGATGGTTTTTTGTGTTTTTTAGTTTTAGGTACTTTAGTCATTTTAAATTTATAAAGAACTTGACTCAAGTATAGATAGTACTCAGTACACTATTTAACAACTAAGCAATAGCCTCATTACTATTAATAAACCCTAAGCCGTAACAAAGGGCTCCAAATGTGGCCTCTGCAATGTACACCAAAAGTACAAACAGGGACACCATCCATGCGCAACATGGCACTGTTAGTACTCTGATATTTTTCGGCTGTTGATGGAATCAGCCTCTCTGAGAGCTACCACAGAGTTCAGGAAACCTGACTACCAGCCGGCCTCAGAACCATAAAACTGAGTTTTAGAGCTGTACCCTCATTAGGAGATAATAGAATGAGTTGCCCAGTCATAAAAATAGAGACACAAGCAATACCCACGCATTGAGTCAAGAAGATCCAGCGTTCAACATCCTAAACTGGAAACAATGTATTAAAAATACATCTGCGCCAGCCTAATAGATGAGGAAGGGGTGCGAGGCTGGTCAACAGATAGAATCTGTTTACCCCTTAAGTCTTTGCCTAGGAGGCCTTCTACAAGACAGCAGCTGGATGCATGTAACATCTGCCCAAGATGAGTATTTTTATCGAGACACCATCTCTAGCCTTTACTCAACCAAGAGCCCCAAGGCAGGGGGTGTTTTAATTCGGAGTTAACTTCTCCTAGCCTTTGCCTAAAAAAGTGTATCCTACAAGGCAGCAGGACATGGAGCAGGTTGTACTGGGTTACATGTTACCAGTAGCAGGAAAACCTGACCTGACTTTTGCTGTTTAAATACAAAGATTTCTCTATAGGGTCATTCCAGCTCAATTCAATTTATGCTCGGCACCATATCATCTCAGATCTTGCTGATTTTTGGAATACAAGCTTGAATTAATAAAAGAAAACTTCACTATAAATTTTAGTGTCTGACTCCTTACGGTTTCAGAGATATTGATACTTGGTCCCAATCTCTTTTTTGACTTTTTTTTTTCAGCGCCATTTATTTTTTAGGCTCATTGCACAACACAATTAGCTTTAACTTATGAAATACTTGTTTAATAGTGGTCAAAATGTCTACCTAACTTTTTTTTAGGATGAGGAACTTAAAAATGATGGCTAAAACACAAAAAAATTCAAGCTTCTATACAAA